TGACATACATGACCATCTGTCCGGCTTCGACATAAAGCTGTTGCCCCATTGATTTTGTCTCAAAAACTTGGCTCGCAAGCAGTTTGCTTTCTTCTCGCCACTAAACTACTTCGAAGTTTACCGCTCTAGGCCTGGATTAGATTGGTAAGAGCCCATATTCCAATGCTCTGGTCAAGAAATGTGTACCCCTTTAGCCTAATGTCTGTTCCAAGAAGATTAAGGCCCAACATCTTTCTCTTTTCTTCCGGAATACTGAAATTGGATGAATTTGTACTTTCATGGGTGTGAACTGCGAATTGCTCTGAGGCATGTTGGAGTATAAACACAAAACATAATTTAGATCTTTCAATTATGGTAAGCATTGAAGTCCTTGGTCCAATAAACCGAACTTGATAAATACTCATGAATCAAACCAATTTAATGGATTTTAAATACTAAATATTTGAGTTTACTTCCTTTTTCTTTTATTGGAACTTATATAGTTTTCCTTTTTGTTCAAATAAGCATCAATCCTCAATATTAAGATGATTGGTGAAAGTCTGAACTTGGTCATTACTTACTCCTATTACCTCAATTTTATTGAATTTGTCTTTGTATTTTCATTAAAAGTCAACTTAAAAACAATTGATAAACGATGTTAAAATTTTTCAATTAAATTTGATTATTTAATTTTTTATTGATGATGTGATATGTCAATTTAAATTATTTTTTTTATCACATGGCACATTTTAGTAAAAAGATCTTTATTTTTAATAAAAATATTAAAGTTGTTTTTTTTAGAAATTCAAAAAATATTAATTATTATTTAATTGAAATAAATTATGATACTTTTTAGATTAATACGGGCCATGTACCAAAAAAATTAATCCACCTCAACATGCTTAGTCATCATTAAAATGTCACATCATCCAAGTTAAAAGCAAAATTTAAATACTATTATCAATTATCCTTAAATCAATTTAATTAAAATATAGAGATTAAATTCATTCCAATTAAGATAATTAAAATACTAAATAAATCTCTAAATTATCTCAAACTTTTCAAATCAACCCCCATCCTTTTGTTCTACTCAATAAGTTCTTATTTTATAATTTTTACTTAGATAAGCCATTTCAAGATGAACAAAAAAATGTCATTTCTCTTATATGTGATCTTTTAACTATTGTTAAGCTCATGACCAATTAACACTTTTGCACTCATTGAAGGTAACATGATTTTTAATATGATGAAATTTGTCGATTAAAATTATAACATCTTGGGTTAAAATTTTTTTTCATTCAACCAATTTTATCATGTCAAAAAACATTACATTAACATTCACATGTGTAGAAGATGCAACGGGTTTAAGTACTGTGAAAGTCACATGCTATCTTAAATATATTTTTGATAATATAAAAATTTATTTAGATATAAATTTCTTACGTGCAATAAAAGAATAAAAGATTAATTTTAAAAAATTGAAAATGTTAGAGGTTTATATAGTATTTTATCCTACTAAGAGAAAGACTGTAACATTCAAATTGAAACAATAGAATCATTGAATAGAAACTTAGATCAAGATGTTTTGTGAACTTAATTTTTAAAAAATTTATGATTTTTTTTAAGATACTTCACTTAGTTTGATAAAATTCCCTATTTACAACAAAAAAAATTCCCTTCACTTAACCAGGAAAAAATACTATAACATCATTAGTTAAATAAGGTTCTTTTACTTACCCATAACAAAATAAATAAATAAATAAATAGTATTATTATGTTTTTCCTAATAATTTTTTTTCCTCATTATAGCTTGAGCTCCACACACATGCAAAGGCCAAAAAAAAACTTGGAAGTAGTACAGAATTGGAATATAATAGTATCGTCGATAGGAGTGATTGACGTACTAAACTGACGCTAAAAAAAATAAGACCAATACTCTTCCTCGACATGAATCTCGTCTCAATAAAGTGTTTGGTTCCGTATTTTTAATAGTATTTCAATTTGACCATTTGCCTAGGCAGACTAGCTCTAGGATCAGAAATTATGAAATATCCGAAAGAACAGAAAATGGGAAAAATGAGCATTGACCAATTCTAGGACGATTAATTTTAGCTAAACAAAGTCAAAAGAGGCCCACTGGATCCGGGTTTGGTTACGGACTCATGGCATCAGTCGGAGCCAGGAACCCGACGCCCAACAAGGCGACAACAACCGCCACCAATTCAGCTTAAGGTTAAGCAGTCATCCTAGCCTCATCAATTGCCGCCATTATACTTCTAAAAGAATTGCATGACCCCTGCCTCCTTTCCTTTTGTCTTCTCAATCGGAGAATCAGTTCAAAATTCCAATTGTAAGAATACAAAAATTAACAAGTGTTGGCCCGGTTGAAATTGATTTTGTCCACCCTCCTACGGAGGGATTTGTTCTTGGTCTATGATTTCAATTTTAAATCTCGGATTCCACCTAATTGGAGGTTATCATTTACTATCACAATAAAAAATAATTAAAGTCTATTTTTTAAAAAACTTATTTTCTGTAATTATAATATTATATTGATGTTATCTTTGAATAGTATGATGAATTTTTATGAAATATAATTATGTTTTTTCAATAAAATGAGAAGAATTACTACTAATAATTAGTATAAGGAACAACTAAACACATGAAAAGGAAAAGTAGGAAAAATTAGTAATAGAAAAACAATGAACAAAAGCTTAATTAATAATTCCATTATAAATTAAAAAAATAAATAAAGTAACTTAATCATAAAAGAAAATATAAGGGGCATTTGGTATTATGAAAGTCTTCTATTTTCCTTGTAATTTAAATGGGTGTAATAACTTTACAATATTTGATTTGTAAATAAGGGAAGGAAAAGTGTTTGTAATTGTAATATCATTACAATGAAGTAAGGGAATATCATTCCCTTCGCTCGAGGTGAGAAACTACTTTCCTTCGACAAAACGAACGTTAAAATATTTTTTTTCCCAACTTATCCTCCGACACTTCCATTCTATTTTCTCTTCATCTGCCTTTTCCCGATCGCTTACACATTTCAATGAAATCCTCTTGAACATGATGGTTGTTGTTGTCCTTACAACACACAGAAAGCAAGACTTAACTCTTGCACATGTTTGCTGGAGTTTCTTAAAAGCACCCCTCATTTTAGTTTGAAGCTTATCGGCACTAGCACATAAATGCATCTTGTTTTTAGTCTGAAGAAGATGAAAGCATCTTGTTGATCCGCAGAACATGGAAGGGATGAACACTCACTCTTGAGTGGAAAGCATCCTTCCCAGCATATTTGGGCATGTACTTGTTGCAATCAATTGGAGCATCCTGGATTCTATTTGTTAAAAAAAAAATTGGTATTGAAAGTATTTACTATTTACTTTAAAAAATAAAAAGAGAAATCATTAGTTAAAAAGTTTAAAGATAAAAAAATTTAAAAATTTTTGAATAGTGGTTTTTATTATTCGTGTGTTAATTTTAGGTATTATTATTTTTAATATTTATAAGTTTATGGTAAAATTAAATATTTAATAATTATATATATATTTAAATATTTAAATATTATGTTATTTTTATTTTGTTATTATTTATTATTTTAAATAATAAAATTGAAAAATTAAAAATTTATATAAAAATAAAAATTTATTTAATTTTATATTTTCATATATAAAGATAATTTTGTAAACTTATATTACATTTTTAATAAAATATTTTCAAATCAAACATTATCATGTAATCTTCTTATCAATCACATTACTTATAATTATAATTTTTTTATATTGTACAAAACTGTAAAATTATTTTTTTAATAATTACATTTTCAATAATAATATTTTCAACAGAAACACCAAACACCACCTAAAATAAAACATCATGCTGTGTAAATAAATCATAAATGCACGTGGAACTGCGATGGTGAGTTACCTGTTTATTTTGGTAGTTTGCGGATGTAACGTAGTAATTTTCAAACCTCAAAATGTAGTACAAAGGGCTATGAAAACGTAATGATGTCGCTGAAATAAAAAGAAAAAGACACACCCAGATTGTTGAAAATACTCCATATTATTATTTTTCCCCATTTCTTCCGTAAGAGCTGTTGAAATTTGTTTCCTTATTGCTTTATTTAGAAATGAAACTTCCTCCATGAAACAGAGCATACATTTCTTGACGGCACCCTTCACAAGAGAAAGACAGACAAATAATAAAATCAGCGTCCATTGCTGACTGTCAAAGATGCCATGTCACCGATAATATTTGATTTTCAGGCCAGTCTACCTATGACCCATGGTCATTAACTGTATTCCGGTTGGGATTTGGCCTTTTCTTCTTGAGTTTGATTTTTTCAATTCAAAGACATCTTAGACATATTTTACGTATATATATATATATATATATATATATATAAAACTCAAAATCATATACTCAACATTGATCTAATACAATAAGGAATAATAATAACCATGGCAGTAAATTTAAAAAGCGGGGTGTCAAGAATAGTATTTTCCCTAATTTCCTATGTCAAGAATAATAATAACCATGGCAGTATCTTCATCGCGATCATGATGTGAACTTGCCTCATCAACAAATTGGAGGTGGGCTTGATGAAGATGCAAACTAGAAAAGGCTCGAGCCTTCAGGGAACTGAGACTGGGCTTTGGGTCTTGCTTAGCACAATCGGAGTGGTGGTAGGTAAAGGGCAATGGTCCAGCAGAATCAAATTTCTCCGACGTCTTGTGGTAGGTAAAAAGCCGTCTTGACATAGGCCACATCTCCTGAGTCAACTTGCCATCTTTCACAACCAAACATGGACCCCATCCTCCCCACCAAAAACCACCTTCACCAACCCTCGAATGCTCCTTTGTTTCTCCAATCAACGAACTCCACAATTGTCCTTTCACCCCTTTCCTACTTTCACCCTCCAACAATCCCCCAAATCCCCATACTGTCCTTCCACCAACCGTCCTCACCAACTTTAATCTGCTTGCTATATCAATATCAATGCTAGCTATCATTTCCTCTCAGGCTCCAAAATAACTTACAAAGCCTAAAATTTTCAACACATTTTTTCTTTGCGCAGCTCAACTCCCAAAGTCCCCGATGGCACCCCAAGCAGAATTGCAACAAGAGGAAATCATTTATCGCTCAAAGCTTCCTGATATCTATATCCCTAAGCACCTTCCTTTACATTCATATTGCTTCCAGAACATATCGAAGGTGGCCTCCCGGCCCTGTTTGATTAATGGGACGACGGGTAAGGTGTACACGTACGCAGAAGTTGAGCTCACAGCTCGCAGAGTCGCGTCAGGACTCAACAAGCTTGGCATCCATCAACGCCAAGTGATAATGCTTTTGTTACCAAACACTCCAGAGTTTGTGCTGTCATTTCTCGGCGCTTCATACCTTGGCGCCATAGCGACGGCTGCCAACCCCTTCTTCACCCCTGCGGAGGTATCAAAGCAAGCAAAAGCCTCCAACGCCAGGCTCATAATCACGCAGGCCTGCTACCTTGACAAAGTGAAGGAATTTGCCGAGGACAATGACGTCAAGATCATGTGCATTGACTCAGCCCCAGAGGGCTATTTACATTTCTCCGAGTTAACTCAAGCTGACGAGCATGATCTCCCTGAAGTCGACATCGTTCCAGAAGATGTCGTGGCACTACCCTATTCGTCAGGAACCACGGGGCTCCCCAAAGGGGTGATGTTAACTCACAAAGGTTTAGTCACGAGCGTGGCGCAACAGGTCGACGGAGAAAACCCCAACTTGTATTTCCACAGTGAAGATGTGATCCTATGTACTCTGCCCATGTTTCATATCTATGCGCTGAATTCAATTATGCTTTGCGGGCTACGCGTTGGGGCTGCAATTTTGATCATGCAGAAGTTTGAAATCGGGTTGTTGTTGGAGCTGATACAAAAATACAAAGTGACAATTGCTCCGATTGTGCCACCTATAGTTTTGGCCATTGCTAAGTCATCGGAAACTGAAAAATACGACTTGTCTTCTGTAAGGATGTTGAAGTCCGGGGCGGCACCGTTGGGTAAAGAGCTTGAGGATGCTGTAAGAGCCAAGTTTCCTGGTGCCAAACTTGGGCAGGTACGAGAGTTAAATTTTTCTTACACGTCTTTGGGTTTCAACCATGTTAGACTCGTTAGACTCGGTCCACCTAGAGTTTTGACAAATCTTCATTTCAAAGGTTTCAAGTCAAATTCATTTGATAAATTTTTTTTGGAAAGTTAAATTCATTTGATATATTAATCTCCATTTGCATGTATACTTATATTGACTCGGATTTTAAAAGAACTTGTTTTTCATTTTTTGATTTAATAAAATTCTTATAATAATATCTTTTCACATCCGTTGAGAATCAAGTGATCATCAATGCTAGAAATTGTGTTTAATTACAAATATTATTATGATCACAAATTCAAATTTTACACTCTCATAACTAAGTCATCTTTACAAATATAGAAGAAAAATTTATGTTCCTTTTAAGGGGGGAGGGGGAGAGAACATTAATTTTAGGCATACAACTTAAAGTTTCCTTCTTTTTTTCCAAAAAAGGAATGACACACTTTTTTCTTTCTCAAGTCTTCAAGTTTTAAGATGCACCCTCCACATTTTTAAGCGTATATATAAAAAACAATAAATAATATTCTTAATAATATGTCATATATAATGATCTACATCTGAAGTTTGATTGCACTGATTGATGTTCTGTGCCTTACCATACGAAGAAAACGATAAAATAAAAAATAAATGGTACTCCCATAAGTTTACTTTTTTGTATAAATCCTTCACCAACTCCTCCTTCCAAAGAAAATTGAAATGAAAATACTGGCACCTAAGTAGTTTTCATAGACAAGGACACCTCATCCTATTAATAATCTGGGGTCGAGGTTTGATGTTTTATAGCCCCACTAAACATGATAAAATCGATGTCGGGATCAAGCTTAACCTAGCCAATCATCACCTAAGTCTCTTGTCCAACACATCTAATCAACTTTAGTGCTCCATTAATAATTTCTTTTTTGCTTTAAACTGGTGGAGGCAGGCCGGCTGCCTATATATCTTGCCGCTTAGTTTGGTATCTTGGGCTTTTCCAACAACTGGACGACGCCTACTTTAACGCACTTTAATTGAATATGAATGTGACGGTTCGAGGTAAAGGACCTTATTTTTAATTGCAAAGTACATTTACAGGGATACGGAATGACGGAAGCGGGACCAGTTCTAGCAATGTGCTTGGGATTTGCTAGGGAGCCATTTGAAATAAAATCCGGGGCTTGTGGGACTGTGGTGAGAAACGCAGAGATGAAAATTGTTGATCCGGACACCGGCTCCTCGCTACCAAGAAACCAGGCCGGAGAGATTTGCATTAGAGGAGATCAGATCATGAAAGGTAAATTAGTAAAAATAAAAATGCTTTTCCATTTTCTGCACTAAAAATGGTTTACACCCAATTTTGAATTTATCACGACTCTTGCAAAAAAAAAAACTCATGAACCACGTCTGCTGAATATTCCAGGCTATCTTAATGACCCTGAGGCCACGGCCAGGACCATTGACAAAGAAGGCTGGTTACATACTGGAGACATTGGTTACATTGATGATGATGATGAACTCTTTATCGTTGATCGATTGAAGGAATTGATCAAATACAAAGGTTTTCAGGTTGCTCCTGCTGAGCTTGAAGCTATGCTCATTGCCCACCCTGATATCATTGATGCTGCCGTGGTGGCGTAAGTGAAATAACCATCCATGCTTATAGTTTCATAATTACTTTCTTGGTTTGATGTCTTCTGGCTTACTTAACAATATTTATCTGCAATTTGCAGCATGAAGGATGAAGCGGCTGGGGAAGTTCCTGTTGCATTTGTTGTCAGATCAGGCAATTCACAACTCTGTGAGGATGAAATCAAGCAGTACATTTCCAAACAGGTAATTTAGGTTTTGCTAATTTTTGGCAAGAAATAAAAACACAGATATACTTAAAACATTCTTGCTAAATGCGGTGCTCATAACTGTGAATGGTGAAAGTGGTCCAGTTTTGGAGGGACAGAACTTACATAAAAACTTTTAGATCAAGTTCGTAAGTTTTTTTAATGATCAAATGAAATCTCATCTAATGTTTAAAACGTCAAGTTGGAATATTAAACATTTATTAATATTGCCTTGGTGATTGATGACCCTGGATATGGTGCTTATATTCTCCGCAATGGTGCAGGTGGTGTTCTACAAGAGAATTAGTCGCGTGTTCTTCATTGAAGCCATTCCAAAGGCACCATCAGGCAAAATTTTGAGAAAGGAATTGAGAGCTAAACTGGCTACTGGAAACTATTGAAACTAGTTTCCAGGTCCCCACACTGCCATCAAAGTTTGAAATAATATACACCGAGTGCAAAGGGTCCCTGTTATAAAGAAATGGTACAGTTCATATATGTTCCTCCAATCTGCTATATGAAGTGAGTTTGGAAAGAATGTAAATTATGATATAAAGAATTCAATCTGCTAGAGGACATATTATTTGATTAATATCCTGTTTCTTCTTTCTTTTTCTTTCTCATTGGTAAACCGAAGAGGATGAAAGTGCTGATTATTTGTAAGAACAGTATCTCATAGCAAATTGCAATTTGAGACCACAAAAACAATTCTAATATAGATTTCCATTTTATGGTAAATTCCTTATGGCTTTAGATATTTGTTTTGGATAAAGCCAATCTGAATTCTGGACCACCCTAGTACTAGGATTTCTTTTCTTCTCTTTCTTACATTTTGTCAATTTTGTCTGCTCTGCTCCACTCCTCTTATAATTAATAAGTGGATGCATGAAACAAACAAATATTCAAAAACATATCATCAAATTTCTAGAGTAGCTTATCATCACATCATTCGTAGGCAACTGTTAGAATGCGAAAGCTGGCCACTGCACCTGATATTCGAACTCCACTTGCATAAAAACAGCTATTATGGAAAAAGATTAAACGGAGAAAACTATTCACTGTGTAGGTTGCTTGATGCCCTCCTCGGACAGGCATAGAAAATCTTGGAGACAGAAGTTTATACATATATTGCTAAGGACACAAGATGCATAAACTATGCCTTAATTGTAGCAGAGTTACGTAGGACATTTTGGTCCCCCCATTGTGCAAAATATAATTTTCAATCTGAAAACTGGCACCCGCTAATCCTGTTCATGCTTTGATGCCTAACATCTGTCATTTCCTGGCAAATTGAGCAGACTCCTCCGTGAATTTATCAGATCGTGCCATACTACATGTAATCCTTAAGTGACAATCACACACATTATTACACAGCTCAACCATTACCTGTGTGAGTCTGTAAGTGTTTCCTCCATTCTTTCTTCAGGGCTATTGCTTAATTTATGGCACTTCTCCAATTACCCAAAATGAATTGCGAAGGGTTGTGTAAGTGAAGGAAAAAGAAAAAGTGATATACTTTTAAAACGCCTAATACAAAGTTTACATTTAACCGTAATTGAAACAGGCAAACAACTTTTGTTATTACATAAGAGTCATATACCAACTCCACCAAGATCATGCTTGAGTCAGCTTGATGAAAAAGCAAGAGTGCGGCCATAAACTTCTCCGGTTCCCCTCAAACCCAACGGGATTGCTCCAATCAGGTCAAAAACACAAAAGGAAACTAGGAGAAAATTGTAGACATACCACACCGTAGCCCATAGAACCAAACAGGGTTAGCATGATTGATGAAGCCCAATTAATGGAGAGTATAAAATTCATCGCTGGTGAAGATGGGACTGATCAAGAAAACACTATTTGAGGATGTGGCTTGCTAGTCATCACCATGAATGTACCAGCAAAGGAGCATAGTGGCACAGCGGAGCAGGATGTAGAGTCGAGCACGTTGCTGCTTAACCAAGGAAGCACACTTGGTGGAGAAGCCATGCCCCTTTCTCTTTGCCGAGGCCTTGACTCCACAGTTGTATTGTTGGGAGTGAAACTCAGCCATGGCTAACTCAAAAGTAAACTTTACTAGAGTAGCTAGACAAGAAAAAAAGCTCAACGTAGAGCTTGGGGCCGTGTGGGTTAAGGGTGAAGTATATATACAATCACAATCCCAAAATCCGAGAAAGGTTAACTGGAATATGAAGGAAGCAAGTGAACATGGTCAGGTTCAGAAACTGAGGGATTTGCATTCGCATGGAAGATGCAGCATAGTTTTCTATACAAAAGGGGAGTGAACGTGGTCCTTAGGCTTTTACTGCTTATTCAATATAATTGCCTCATACAACTAAATAACTACTTCTCTGCCTTCTCCTCTATAATAATCTTTATTGGTTGGAAGCGATGAGGAAGATCGATAATCAATTAATTAAGTAATGTGGATTAGAGAAGTGGCAAAGGTCAGCATGAAAAGTGGAGAGCTGTTTAATGAAGACAAGGCAATGGATATGGCTTATGGGAACACTGGCCCGGCAAAATGGCCTCAATTTTGAGGTAGGACGTTGGTTTGGTTGGATTACTTGGATTTTCTCCACCGTGGCTCATACTCCCAACTTAATTTACGAATTGTTTTCTCACTCGAGGGAATAAAATCTTGAGCAATTTTTTTGTCCTCCAAATAATGGAATTGTCACTGAAGGAAAGAGGTGAAAATCAATCTGTCAGCATCCGATGTTATTTCGTTGGGTGTGAAATTAAAGAATCAAAATACCAACTGTTTTTTTTTTATATATAATATGTCAATATTATTTTTAGGAATAGCAACCAAGGTAAGATATTCTATTTAATCTCAATTAAATTTTATAAGCAATATCCAAACTCATTGTTAATATTTACAAAAAATCTGCATTCAAGTATTTAATTATAAACTACAAGGTACCCATTTTCAAACTCAATCCGACTTAAACTCAAGATAAAAAATTAATTTTTTTTATTTATACTATTAATAAGAATGAAATTACTAAATTGAAATTGAAAATCATATTTAAAATGATTAATAAATTTTAACAAATATTACATTAATTATAAGTAATTTATAAATAAAAATACAAAATTAAAATTTAATATAAAAAAAATTATTATTTATAATTAAATTTGAGTAATGAGTATAGTAACACCATTTTTTTTATAAACAAGTACAGTAACACCATTATTGAAACTCATGACAAGTAATAATTTCACTAAACCGACTTTACTCTTACAAGAAATCTTAATCTTAATTAATGAGGTTGAGTCATAATCATTCCTAATTATTTTTTGAAGAAGTAAGTTATATAATTATCAGTGTCCCGTATGGTTTCAGCTATTGAAAATATACCAACCTTTGATTACGTCTCCTTTGCTCTAATGTTCAAAGACTATACCAAAGCAAAAGCTTATATAAAAACTAATTGAACTGCAAGCTGGTGCTTCAGTAGTTTCGGTATTCATTTATTGCATGGATATATCTATTATTGACTCTGTTATCCTAGAGCTTATTAAATTATTGATGTTATCCCAAGATTCTGCATTATCTTGCTTATCACTTGTCGATTTCCATGGTATAAGACAAACTATGTGAATTTCTTGAACCACACACTGTACAGCTAAGGTTGCTTCAAGGAAAAGATCATACTTTGTGAGGAAACCATCAGACTAACATTACTCTGTTGACTATTCAGAAATGCATGCTTACAGCTGAACCTAATCGCTAAGATTTTCGAAGTATATTGAATATGATCGTTCCAACAAATCTGGATACGGAATCTTTATTTTTTCTATGTATCGTGTTTCTAGTCAATGGAGACACCTCTATCTCCATTGACATACATGCTTTGCTCAAGTCCCTGATGCAGAACATGCATCCTATGTCACCATCACCATAAAATGCTACTGCTGATATCTCCTGCACTTCCTCTTTAAAGCTTTTAATACACATTATTTTTATAGGCTTCTAGTATAAGATAATAAATGAACAAAAACGTTGAAAAACTTCAATAAAAGGCCGAGACTTGATCTCAAGTCTTCATTTTTTATGCTAGCAACAGGGTTAAGTTTTGTTCTTTATCAGCTCTGAGAGCTTTGGACCATTGGTATCCTTATTGCTCATACGTGGTATGAAATTGAAGCTCTGCTTAGATTCTAATAAAGAATAGCATACAATGTTTACAATTAACAAAGTGCTCCTATGCAGAAGAAACAAAGAATATCAAGCGATAACTGAGTAGCGTTAACTCTTCAAACGAGGAACATGCTCTTTATCAAATGCCTTACTTTACAAGTTGATCACTAGTTCATCATCTATGTGCAATGTATGTGTATGCTTGCGTGAATCAAAAGCTATCATCTCTCAATCTTCTAAAAACGAGTACAAGGATAAGTACATCTGGTTAGAATTACATAGATTTCTGCTCGCAATCTTTATCGACGGTGTACGCTTTTGGATGTTTTGCTACAACTTGGAAATGCATCAAAGTAAGATAATGATACAGAAGAATGTAGACGTACAGAACTAATAAATCAATATACTTATCATTTCCCTTTTTATAATGAAATGAGTGAAGGTGCTCCCTTTGAGATTTGAGAGAGAGCCGGCTTTTAAGAAACCAGATAAAATATAAATCACCATCCACTAACACTGTTTGGAGAGAAAGCACTAACATAGAAAATCAAAAAAATATCCCCTCAACCGGGGTAAACTTGTCCTGGATGGTAACGCCAATTCACAAATTAGCAGTCCGGAGCAGAGTAACATGCATAAAGGCTTCGATGCTAGATAGGTTCAATCATCTCCATGAGTAAACTTCTTCCTTACTATCCCTGTTAAAGATTAAGCACTCCATGTGACGAGGTAACATGTCAGTTGCTCTTGGATATTATACTTTGCATACCAGATATACTCAGCAAATGATATCTTGCTCTTCCAGGATCCAAATGTTTCATTCTTTTCAAGCATATGACTGTGTTTTGCGAATTCAAGCTAAACAAGGCTCTGAATCAGATCTAGAAAGATCTCTACAAGTACTATCGGAAACAACACGGGGCAAATTCATTTTATGTATTTGGCTTATGAGATTCTGTTCAAACTGGCAAGGAATATACATGCATATATTTATTACCCATTCGTTATAATTTGGGAATGGTTGATTATCAATAAATACACAGTTGAGTGTTGACGCAGCACAAATCACAAAAGAATTTGTAATTTTCATGTTGATCTAACTAAATAAATATGTAATAAAATCATATGAACATAAAATCTGTTACAACTAGAGTCTATGAACTTTTTTATTTTTGACTATAAACTTAGAATCAAACAGTTGAGAAGCTCGAGCTTGAAATTATCATGTCGAAACGTTCCAATCTTGGTAGGCTGAGTCATGACTCATGAGGGAGCCCACTATGGCTTACCACTTTTAAGGCCAAGCAAGAACTAAATTGGCCCACGTCGCACATGTATCAGTTAACTTGAAAAGGACGTAATTTAAATTTTAAGATTTAGGTTATACAAAATAAAACGATTCAACATGCCGTAATATGAATATTATGTGACATTTGATACTTTACTATATAATATGATTACAGGTAATGTGATTGCAAGTAATGTGATTATAAGAAAAATAACATTACAGTGTTTGATATGCAAGTAAAATAATAATTAAAATACAAAAAAATAATATGCGAGTTTGGTTTACAATACTTTGTTGGGAATGTAA